TAGGGAGAACAGTTTATACTGCCTTCTTGAGCATGATTTGGCTTGATTATTATATTACAACAAAAGTTGATGACCTTTATTATTATACACGATCTGTCCAAACCTGGCAAAATTGCTTTACTTAGCGAGGCAGCCGCTATCTTCTGATACAACATTCAAACACATAAAAGCTTTGCTGGATATATAAAGCCGCACGTGGTCTTTATTTCGAAAAATATGTGTCCAAAAAGGCAAGATAAAAGGCGACTTGTCCTAAAATTAATGCTTACCTGTTCGACGATGGCTCTTCTAAAGACATCCAGATGTTCCAGCAACAAAATCATGGATAAATGAAGGCAAGATTGTATACAAATTGAACTAAAACGACACTCTGCACTCTGCAGTACTTTAGAAATGAGAATATTCGATATTCGTTCCCAGGAATCCCTACTGCCTGTGCTCTCAACACCCTATTTCCAAGAATTCCTTAGATTATCGATGAAAATGTCCTCGTTTTCAAGAAAATTCCTTGGACTTGGCCTTGCTGGGCCTGCTTGTTTTGGAACTTTTTGGGCCTGTTTTTGGTAATCAAATATGCCCTTGATGTTATGATATTGGAAATTAAAAAGGTTAGGTTCTCTGAACTTTTGTCTCATAAAATTGCGATTTTGAACTTCGTCGTTGAAAGGAATTTTACATTGTTGGTCCAGGACAATCTTCATTAAAATGTTTGCAGTTCTGAATGTATTTTCTGTGTTTTGACAAGTATTTTTGCATTAAGAACAGCCAATTTGTCTGCATTTTTTAGTACTATTCCAACATTTTAAAATGTTGGGTAAAATATTGTATAAATTCATCAGAAATTTCATGGAGGTGCAAAATTCCTCAGTTTAAGGAAATTTCCTTACATCGAACAGGAAACGCATACGCGTTGCCTTGACAGGTGAATACAAGCGTGTGGAAATCATCGGTCTGGAAAACCAAACATTCGATTAAAATTGGAGAACATTCTCAAGTCTTCATTGAGATAAATTTAAGATGGTGAGTAAACTTTTCATTTAAGAACGGTCTTTCCTTTCTACTTAATAAATTCTTATCCAGGCTGCTTGCCTTTCTAGGCCTGCCATATAAATTCATTAAAGACCAATCAACAATTTTTTTATAGTTTTGTGTATAATATTTTTTAGCATTTCCTGTTGATATTTTGCATTGAATTTTGTATTTTATTATTTGATTTTTGCAAAGTCCAGGAAAGAATGAAGCCATGTTTTCTTTCCTATTTTTGGCAATTGTCGTTCAGGAGATACACTTGAACGATTTTGCAAAATTTGGAAATGGACACAAGCGGAGTCTGTGTCTCATGTGTGATGAAGTATTGCTTTTGCTTTGTACGTTCGTGTATTCGTCTATGCGAAAAACGTGAGACACGGAATAGTATATACTGCATTAGTTTGTAAATGATTGACAAATAATGTTATTGCATCAACATTGGAATTTCATTATTTATTATCAATATGACGCATAATAACAACATCGCAAGGGAATTTGGACTGGCTATATGGGTAAGATGTGCATATTTCAGAAACATATTTGGTTCATTATTTGTTGCATAAACATGACACAGTTTTAAGGCAAAATGAAACCGTCCATGCCACTGAGTTCCAGCTTTTCTCGCCGGCTATAAGGCCTGTTGGTGCTTTCACATTGGCTAATGTGCATGCAGGACACTTATTTTGTGGCTACACCACTGCCAAAATATTTATAAAATGTTAACTGTCTTTGCAGGAAAATGTTTATGCCTCCCTTCCCCTGTATCCTAGTAATATCATTTATTCTACCTGTATACTATACTGTCAACAAAACGAAATATATACAATACAGTATATAACATAATAAAACATGTTGGTTGACAATTATTACAATAAGTACTGTAATTTTGATGTTACTCTCATTCTGGCTAAAAAATTAGCCTGACCACGGCAGTCTGTACCTCGTAGCTCAGTTGGCAGAGCATTGAACTGTGATTCCCAAAGGTTGCGGGTTCGATTCCCACCGTGGAACCTTTGGGTAACTTTTCAGCCTGCCCGGTGTATATATACACTCAGAGTAACATCAAAACCACTATATTCACCTGAGTAAATAACATCAAAACACATTGGTATTGAAGGTACTAGAATTAGTTTCAAAATACCACACATTCGAACCAACTTGACCTGACGTAGCTCAGTTGAGAGAGCATCAATTCCCACTATGGTCAGGCTAACTTTTCAGCCTGCCCGGTGTGGATATACACTCAGAGTAGCATCCAAAACATTATATTCACCTGAGTTCATAACATATCAAAACACATACAAAAAATATCATGACCATGCATCAGAACCCATTGGTATTGAAGGTACTAGACTTACTACACACTCAAACCGACTTGACCTTGTAGCTCAGTTGGCAGAGCATCAATTGGACTAGTATCCAATCTCATTCCCGGAGCCTGCAATCCTCGGGAAGGAACATGAGGCTCTGGGATAATCCGTTTCCGGGAGGAATCTGATTGGCCGTTGATATTGATTGCGCAGTTCGGTCTTAGCCAGCCGGATTCCTGGCTTTCGGCAACAGATTATCCCAGAACCTCACATTCCTTCCGGAGGATCACTGAGGCTCGGGAATGAGATCGACTAGTATCCCATAAAGGTTGCAGGTTATATTCCCACTCTGGTCAGGCTAACTTTTCGGCCTGCCCAGTGTAGATATACCCTCAGAATAACATCAAAAACATTATATTCACCTGTCATAGTACATCAAAACACACACAAAAATATATCATATTATAATTAACACTGTAATGTAATTATTGTCACTTGTCTTCAGGGGCTGTAGGAATCGCTGCACGTTATTAAATACATGCCGAACAATAACCTCATGGACTTATACACAGAGGGCCTATATTCAAGGGTGCTTATATTCTGAATGGCCTTTGACCAGGAACATTATTTAGTGAATATGGTTGGCTATGAATGGGGGGAGGCTGCAGGTGCTTATATTTGATCAGAGGGACTTATTTTCAAAGGTTTATTATATTGAAATTATCCATGTAGTTGCTTGTTTAGAATTTCCAAATATAGTTTGGACAAGGCTCGTTAATTTATCTCAAACTCATTGAGTGGCAGCATTGATCTCCTGACGAGTGAAGTCATCTGGCGTTAGGCAGAGTAAAATAACAAAGTAGGGTGCATCTGGTTGCATTGCCACTTTTAGGGTTAACAGTGTGCATGGGTAGATAGTCTGATTAACCCATTGAGTGGCAGCTAGCACTCTCCCCCTGACGAATAAAATTGTATGTCTGGTGTTAGACAGAGTAAAAGAACAAAGTAGGGTGCATCAGGGCACATTGCCACTTAAAGGGTTACCCTATTAATAAAAGCACATGCAAGTATGAGTAAAATCAACCGATGTTGGACAGAGTAAAATAGTATAATAAATAAATTTATAACTTGAAAACATGCCAACAAAAACATTTTAATTTTAGGTCTTGTGACCTAAATATTGCTATTAATAAGACTAGCTGTGCCTGTAGAAAAGAGATTTCATCCTGGCAAATATAAATTTCAGTTTGGATCTTCATGCAATGCTATTACAGTACTGGAAAAGCCTGGAATCTCCTAAGGCCAGTGGATTTTGAGCATAAACTGGCCTCAGGAGATTCCAGGAACAAAGAACTTGGCAATCTTATAAGATGCTTGTGATGTTACTCTGAGTGTATATCCACACCGGGCAGGCTTGAAAAATATGCCTGGCCACGGTGGGAATCGAACCTACGACCTTTGGAATACTAGTCCAATGCTCTGCCAACTGAGCTACGCGGTCATGTCGGTTCGATATGTAATATTTCGGAACTGGGTCTAGTTCCTTCGATATCTATCTAATCTGGTAATATCATGATATTTTCTTGTGTTAATTGGTGTAATGTACTCAGGTGAATAAGATGCTTGTGATGTTACTCTGAGTGTATATCCACACCGTGATTAAGATGTTTGTGATGTTACTCTGAGTGTATATCCAAGCCTGCCCGGTGTGGATATACACTCAGAGTAACATCACAAGCATCTTATTCACCTTAGTACATTACACCAACACAAGAAAATATCATGATATTACTAGATTAGATAGATATCGAAGGAACTAGACTCAGTTCCGAAATATCACATATCGAACCGACCTGACCGCGTATCTCAGTTGGCAGAGCATTGGGCTAGTATTCCAAAGGTCATAGGTTCGTTTCCCACCGTGGCCAGGCATATTTTTCAAGCCTGCCCGGTGTGGATATACACTAGGTCAGAGTAACATCACAAGCATCTTATTCACCTGAGTACATTACACCAACACAAGAAAATATCATGATATTACTAGTCAGATTAGATAGATACCGAAGGAACTAGACTCAGTTCCGAAATATCACATATCGAACCGACCTGACCGCGTAGCTCAGTTGGCAGAGTATTGGGCTAGTATTCCAAAGGTCGTAGGTTCGATTCCCACCGTGGCCAGGCATATTTTCAAGCCTACCTGGTGTGGATATACACTCAGAGTAACATTACAAGCATCTTATTCACCTGAGTACATTACACCAACACAAGAAAATATCGTGATATTACTAGATTAGATAGATACCGAAGGAACTAGACTCAGTTCCGAAATATCACATATCGAACCGACCTGACCGCGTAGCTCAGTTGGATGAGCATTGGGCTAGTACCCAAAGGTCCTAGGTTCGATTCCCACCGTGGCCAGGCATATTTTTCAAGCCTGCCCGGTGTGGATATATACTCAGAGTAACATCACAAGCATCTTATTCACCTGAGTACATTACACCAACACAAGAAAATATCATGATATTACTAGTCAAGATTAATTAGATAGATATCGAAGGAACTAGACTCAGTTCCAAAATATCACATATTTAACCGACCTGCATGACCGCGTAGCTCAGTTGGCAGAGCATTAGGCTAGTATTCCAAAGGTCGTAGGTTCGATTCCCACCGTGGCCAGGCATATTTTTTAAGCCTGCCCAGGGTGGATATACACTCAGAGTAACATCTCAAACATCTTATTCACCTGAGTACATTACACCAACACAAGAAAATATCAATCTTATAAGAATTAATAATTATTCTTATAAGATTGCCAAGTTCTTTGTTCTCTCCTTCGTGCAGGAATTGTTAAGTCCAGACTTTAATTCCGATAATCTTGCCATGGCTAGCTTTGATGTCACGTCCTTGTTTAAGCCCCATTTACACGAGCAAATTTTATTTGACAAATTTCATATGACAAATGCATTTGATCAAAAGCTAGCATGCTAGCTTTTGTTCAAATGCATTTGTTACAATAAAGTTGTCACAAACGCATCATCCACACGAGCAAAATAT